GAATCTGACGGCGTCTTCCTGTGGTGAGACCCGAGTCAGCAAGTGTTGATTCAGTTGGACAAGGTGCTGTACTTTACGCCGTTCATGAAAAATCCGAGTGTATGCTTGAGACAGATAATCAACAAGATTCGTGATCATACCTGCTTACCAACTAGATCACTACCAACTCAGTTCTGCGATGCAGTCACCAATATACCATGTTGTATCCAGGTTCGTCACACTCTCCGGCTGTCGCTTCGAGAAGTCGCGCTGGATGAACCGACAAGTTCACAACACGGCAAAGGCGCATGACGAACTCACGTGTGACAAAAATTTGTACAGTTGTATTAGGAGACAGCTTCGTGCAAACAGCGAGAGGTTGAGGCACTCCACTGTTCATGGTGTGAAGGCGGTGAGGAAGGGGAAGACGCGATGGCGCGTCGGGCCCTGGGTCTTATCTGACTCGGCGGGAATAGGTTACTCGCCACAAGAATTGTCGCGGTTGGCGATGGGCTGCTCCTGCAACGGCATGAAGATGTCAGTAGTGTTCGTGTCTGGGGCACAGACTTGGCACAAATCATCGGACCCGGCGCAGCAGGAGGCGTGATATTGCACTCACCTCGTCGTGCACAACGAACGTCTGGGGCTTATGCATCCTGCTGTTTGCCCGCGGCCTTAGTTTGCAGTATTTCACATAGGACATGTTGCATGCTTTGAAGTGATAGGGCCAGAAATGGCGTGTAAGCCATGACCCTGCGCGGAGCACTGACGGAGAGCTGGTTCGGACTCACATTAGGGCGCTGTCAACGGTTTCCTGTCCACCATTAGCTTGTCGATCGGCGAAGCAATGCTTGACTCACATGTTCTGAAAGACGACACGGGAAAGGGCACCGTGGCTGGTATATATTGGATGGAATGCATGGATCTTTGTTTCGCACCGTCTTTGAAGTCAGTCCAGTTTCGGATAGGGTCGCGCTGAAATCTACATACCTGTATGGAAATCGCTCTTTTGCATCGATATTCAGGGACCGGACAGTGGTCGGTTGCTATGGTGGACAGATGTTCGCATAGATACATCGACCATCTAACATTAATCTGCTTTTTTGATCGGCTGCCATGGGTGGCATAGTGGACCTGGTGGGAATCTCGTTCTCACAAGTACTTTCTAGATTGTCGGCCCACGATGTATCCATAGATGTCAGTACAGTGGAAATTCCAGTAGGTTGAGGGAAGAACTCATCAGGTGCCTCAAACCGAGGGCCTGCTCGACTTTGCACGGCAAGTGACAGTATTGTGGAACGAATCGCTGAGGGGAGAGGACGTATTTATACGCTTCTCGGCTCCTGTCGCGTACGTGCTCTATTTAGGGAGCAAACGTCGAAGGACACAATGCCTATCTTAAGTGAGGAATGATATAACATATACCGCAAGTATTTGCAGCGAATTTCTTAGTGTGCTTTTAGATGCTCACCGAGAAAACATGCTAAAGTCAAGTAGAGAATGAGTCAAAGTGAGTCGGTTAAGAAACGTTGGCTCACCGTTGAACCTACGGTCCTAATATTGAGGCAATGGAAGCTGTTCTTTCTTTGATTTTACCAACGGCACTCACATTTTCATCCAAGGAACATGGAAATTTTCTGGCCTCGCTCGAGTGTTGATTGTCTGAGCTGTGTGTGGTTCTGTCCGTTTAGGCTGCGGAAAGCGTCAGGCCGCGGTCGCACGGGCACGGGTACTCAACCCATCACCCGTTGAAGCTTGGCCGTCCTTGTTGACGGACGGGAAAAAGTCAACTTTTGAACTTGTGATCATGGTTGAGATAGATACCTTTTCTTTTCGATTTTCTTTTTCAATCCTCTAGGTTTTACTCTATTTACTTTTTGGAATTTCTGAACTCTCAAACGAATGTGGAAAATGCGTTGTGATTGAATATATATCTCCTGGACCGTTCATTACCAGAAGCCACTAATATGAAGCATATTCACCAACCATCAACACCGCGAGATTGATCATCAACGCCACCATTGAATGGGCTGCTAACAGAGCACTGAAATTCAAAAGCCGACTGTGTGATTGATTTTCACTATGACAGTGAGACTGAGCATACTGTAATGGAATGAAGATGTGTCTCCCATGGAAAGGCCTTCTTTACTCGGGCCCTGCCACCGGTTTGAAGGCTTTCTATCCCGTCTACTTCGAAAAGCCTTCGCATTGTTGTACCTATATGTTGCCATAAATTACTCATTCCATAAATTTCTCTGTGACAACTTATTTTGTCGACATGGAAACCAGCTGTCGCTTTTCGAAACCCCGAAGCACACTCGTGCACACCAACGGCTCTGTCAACCCGAGATTCCATTTATGTGGCAGTATCATCCTACTCTGCTTTATCTACCGTGTGTCTCAGTGCCCTTCATCCATAAGCAATACGGCCACAGCTTTGGTTTCTCTCTTAGTCAATCTCATTTGTTTTGGGACTTCTACCTTTTGTCACTACGTGCTGTATTCGAGAAAGCAGCTCCCTTCTTCCTACTTCCTGCTGGACCACCTTGGAATTATTCTTCACATATGGGGGACATCTGCATCAGTCTTACTTTTAGAGGCTTCTGATAGCGGGAACAACAATATCATTTTTCTGGGAGTCACACTGGGCGGGCTGGTCTGTGCCACTTATTTGATAACCTGGCCAAGAGAGAAGAGAGAACGAGTGCCGGTGATTGGAGGGTTTGGAGCTTTGGCTTTATGCAGCGTCTCGCTCTACAACGCTGTCTTTTCTGATGTATCTCGACTGACAGCTTCTTATATCTTTATGGCTTTGGTTAACGGCATTGGAGGGTGGTTCTACTCTCATGGGTCTATTCAAGTCCTGAGTAAACGTTCACCCAAGCCCTACACTGTGTCGGGGCACACGTTGATGCACCTATGCTCCCTGATTGCATCCATATTTCACGCTTCAATCTTGGTCTCTTCTGTTTGTATCTGACAGACTTGAGCCCTTGATCACATGAGGTTTCGGATTCGGCTCTTTCTATGAGAATTCGGCATGCTTATAATGACGATGGCACATAAGATCCCGAATATATATATATATCAGCTCGGCGGCGTATACCGACCATTGGCATATCGGCTCGACCTGAACCTGTGATGATTCTGTAATCTCTAGGCTGCCGTCCAGCGCTACAGCTGCAGCGCGGTTGCATCTCACTCCTGACATACACCCCCGTCAGTGTGTGTTGGCACCAACGGAAGGCGAATTTGAAATTAAGTGGTCTGTGTACTCCTCAGGGTAGACTTCACGACCTGTGGCTTATTACGCGGCTATGCCTCTCTTTGAATGCTCAAGCGAACTGATCTTGCCATATCACCTATTCTCATGATATTAAATCCATTAAATATCAGACTTCGAAAAGTTGAACCCATCTCGCGGGTTGTCTGCGGACTAGTTCCCACTGTCAAGTTCCAAAGGAGAGGGCCAGCCCCGTATTAGTATTCGACTTGGAGGTTTTACAGTAGCAGGTTGTCGGACTTGAATATGTCGGAACGTGGTCATTACAGTACGGACTAGTACGGGCATAGCCAATTGAGTACTTGAGAGTGTCTTTTTTATATTCTATTCTAACCATTGCTACACAGGCACAAATGGAGACGGATGAGATATTTTGGCCCGCACGGGGCACCTGCGGTCTGAACACTGGCGATGTAGGCCTCGTTGACGGAGGGCTACAGCGCCGTGAGGGCTGCAGGCGGGCCCGTGGCACTCCGTATATTCTAGGAGGAAAAATAGCTATGCGGGAGCATACGTGGTATATACATGAGGGGGGTTCCGCGGTGGCCGGGAAGAAACCGTCGCGGAGAGAGCCCGGCTCTCCCTCGAAACGGCGATGTTCTTTTCGAGGGAGGGGAAGGCCAGGCGATATTTGTGTGCGATGTCCAGCACGGGATATCGTGGGCCCGACGCAAGGGGCTCTCACGCAACAGTCCCAAATAGAACCTATCATTTATAGCCCATACTGCCTACATGAAACGCGCTAGTGAACGTCGTATCTCCTGCATTCCTCAATTTTCAACCTATTTCGCCGCTTTTTTTAATCCATATTTTGCTAAAGACGGTGTCCTATTGTTTGCAGGCAATGATCGAGAGCCAGTTGCGGCGTGCGCAGTATTAGTTATGATGCATGAGGGTTTTGTGGAGCAGAATATTATATGAGCAAAATGGTGTGGGCCCGGGTTTCACAACTTATGAACCGTCACTGTACAGTATATAGTCGCTGTTGCCTGCATATTCCGCATATCGCTTGGCCTATTATTCGACTTTGCAGATCCCTAAAAATAACCTGGAACTCACGGAGGGCTGCGTCGAATCCGAAATGGAGACTGGGGGTAGAATCCAAGTGAGGCAGGGGCTCCGGGGATGCGAAATCCCGGTCAGTTGTGGCACTGCCAGGCGCCATACTGTGTTCCTGTGTATCATCCACCCCATCCATCCATCTTGTACTAGTGGGCCATTGTGTGGCAGATTATCACTTTCGACTTTTACTTCTTCTTTCTCGAAAGCGGCATCGGTATTGAAATAATAGTAACCTTTTTTCTAGAAGCAAGGAAAAGGTTATGAGGAAGGCTCAATATCAACTATTGCTTCATTCTTATACTTATACTACATGCCGTCTATGAACAGTGGACGCACTTGTACCGCGTAGTCCCAAGTGTCGTAAAGGGATCATCTGAGCAAGTCAAGGAGACACGAGCTTTGACCAGATATTGTCGATGTGTTGGCCCGAGAATCTCCTGGGTCTCCGAAACTGGATACCACGCTCCAATTGTTGTCAGCGGAGCTTGTCTCAAAACCGAAGATTCTGACCGAATACACGAGTGTGGAACCCGTAGTTGAAATGTTGGTGGTGGGTACAGTAACGGAAAGTCGTTATTCCGAAATGAAAGATTCGTTTACGACGTCGCAGATTCTCCTTTTTTACTTTCGATTAAGTGTTAAGGTACTGTACGCTCAAAGTCGTGGTCGTGAAATTATGCCTACCCCTTTCAACGAAATGGCCGATGATGGAAACCATCAAACTATTGCTAAAATAGTACACAACTTCGTCGCTCGGCCTGATAAGAAAAGTCTCAATCCTCTTAGACTTGCCAGTCTCTCTGTTTCCGAATTCTCGACCGAATTGGCGAACCATTTATCCACTATAAATGAGGGTGGCAGTATTGCCCTTGGCCGTGGAGAAAAATTGGCCAGCATTAGCCTAAGCAAGAGCTTAGAGAGCCTTTTCTCAACCTCAACACCACACGTGACCGAAAGGCCGCCGTTGACTTGGACGAAGCTTGTGCTTTTCGCAGGTCCCAATTTTGAGGGCCCAACGCAGCTTAAAATTGACAATTCCAGCGTTGAGCTGCCCGAGTACGACCTCAAACTCTTACGGTCTGGTCGGCCTTGGCGGTTTCTCTCCCCTTGGCCAGACAGAGACGATTGCACGAAGGAGCTTCAGTCGAGCGAGACTGCGCTGCAGGAGCTTTCCAGTGCTCGGAAAGTAATAGACGAGGGTGAGTGTCTTGGAAATATGGCTTAACGATGTTATATGGGAAGCTGAAACCGATTATTATAGTCTTGGCACAAATCTTACTTGTCGAACAACGTCTCCGGAATCATCGGGGTTTAGTGTCTCAAATTTTTGAGAGTAGGGACCACGCCATCCACCGAGGTAAAATTTCAATCTGTGACGGGGCTCAGCCTTTTGCTCAGCCTTTTGTTCCAACTCAAGGAGCTTTTGGTCCAGGGCCCTTGGCAGAAGGTGACAGCATAAGATACCGAGATTCACCAACCATCCCTGTACCTATCCATTATACTAGCAAAGCCGGATCGGCGCAGCCAGTTAACGAAGACCCGAATGATCAAGCTCCGTTAGAAGATGCCACTGTGCGGAATCCTACTCAACACGATGACTTTGGGCATGCAGACGGCACAAGGCCAGAGTCCAGGTTACACACATCTGACTTTATTCAAAATCTGAGCGAGTAAGTGCAGCATATACCGGGGCTTGGATGTGCGTTTATTAACTAACATGTGAAAGAATTCTAGATGATCCAAACAGTTGGGAAGCCATGCGCCGGTCAGAAGATGGGAAATCTGTCTTGGTCGGCGAAGAAAGCATATTTCCTGCACACATGCTTGCAAAGATGTCCACAAAAAGCTACCAATCTCTTATCCGACGGCTTTATTACTATGGCTTTCACAAAATTGGGGGTGCCTACCATCACAATTCATTCATTCGTGGTCAGCCTAGCTCCATACGACCGGCTCGAGAGATGAGTCACAGCCCCTCACTTCCTTCGCCTTTACATAAAAGCAGTTCTCAAGGTGGGCCTCGTTATAAAGTGATCAAAAGAAAGCGGAAAAGGGATAGCGTTTAAAAAATTATCCCAGTGGTGAAATAGGCTATGCCAGTAGCTATTTCTCTACTTCAATCAAGGCTAATGCTCTCAAACGTTTGGTACGATTCGCTGGTTTAGACCCTTTATAGATACGACAAAAGGAGTACCGTCTGTTCGTTCCCATCTGTGTGCGCGCTATTCCCCTAATAACAGATTCTAGAATCAGAGCGATGTCAGGCTTTGGAAGACGGGATTTCCGTAACTTGATTGATAAATCTGATAGAAGTTCGTCATCTTGACCCTGGGAGTCCTCTTGCTCCCAGTGGCTTTGTTATGGCTTCTGGGAGCACGTAAGCCGCCATTAGGAGTTATAGCCACCTGGAAACCCGAGGCAGCTTCTAGGCCTTTTTCCGCAACCTGAAGGCTCTGGTACAGCTCCTGGGAGCACAGAAGCCACTTCTAGGAGCCAAATAGTCCGCAGGAAACCTGACGTAACTTTTCTGAGGCCTTCTTTTTCTCGTCTCAGAGAACCAAAGCCGCATTCTTGTTGATAGCTTCATTAGCTCATCGAAACTTAAGCGTAGTTTCTGGTATTATGAATTGGCCTTCTCTGAATAGTCAATGACTCAGACTCGAGCGCAGTGAAGGGATCTTGTGACGGCTCTACAGAGACAGACAGAGATGACGCTAGGACCCAGCAGCAAGGCCCCAGAAGTGCAACAGCTCCCAGATCCAGGCGATGTGTTCCCCAAAGCCGTTCATTATTCATTCAGCAGCTGTGTGAGGGTCTCACGCATCCGTTGATGACGACAGCGTGTTCCTGATAAATAATCAATATCCAGGAAAGCTAATTCCGATTCTAGATACAAGACGTAGCGCGAGGAAGCAACGGAGGCACCATGTGGGTCCCACAGATCATATCTCCGTTCATTCTGTATGCTTCATGAATATCCCTGCCACCAGATCTGGAAGCTACGACGCCTCTGGGACACTAACTTAGGGTCCTAGAGTCAATAGCTTGCCTTTTGAGGTCGCGAAAGCCCTCACAAGACACATTCACCAGACTGCGTCGAAATCTTCGTCATTCGATCACTCCTAGAAGCCCAAATCATCGCTCCAGAAATTAAACAAATCGTCAACAGGAACGCTGCTTTGATTCCCCGAGGTGGGGATACCAGACCCCAGAAGCTGCATCGCGTTTCCTGGGGGTTACGTGGCTCCTAGAAGCTGCTTCTTTGCTCCCAAAAACGTTTCTAGGGCCCCCCGGGAGCAAGAGAACTCCTAGGACCAAGATGTGTGTTCCTGGCACTGATAGGGCCGTCAACAGGAATGTAACCGGTTTCGTGATAGTGATGGTGGATAGTCTTACAAGCTACGTACGATTTGCTGGGGCTATGGTATTTCCAGAGTCACCGTTTTGAAGTCTTTACGAAGACCAAGTTTGATCGATGTTTACACAGAGTAAGTCGTTGTTCGACAGCCCCGGAAAATGTGTCCGATGTCTTGGGAGTAACCCAGCCCCTGGAATCACCCTGAGCTCCAAGGGTCTTCTGCCTTTTTAAAAACTTGCATCAGGTATTCTGGGGTTGGATTGGTCGCTGCATATACCATATTAGTGCACCTCGTGGAAGAACATTTGACCCGGACGTGACGTCGTGGGTGAAGAAATTCATAAATACATGCTTCCCATCCTACTCTTTCCACAATTAGGCTCCTCAGTGCCACCTTCTGCCTTGAGAGGATGATAACCACTCTTTTTTGATGATGACGATACCCTCCAACCTTGAATACCATATTCATAGGAACTGACTTAAGCAGTTCGGCTTTAGTGGATTCGATGCCTGACTTTCGATTGTAACTTACAATGTCATCCCCAGTTATATGTTACTCTGAAAAGGGAACTTGAAAGCAAACTCAACCTCTCCCAAAATATTCCTCCCATTTCTGTCTAGCACCCTGCCATTGAATACCGCGTTCGCCTCCGGACCGTACATTCTCTTCCACAAAACAACCGAGCGATCTTCATTATGAGTATCCGACTTGAATTCCATCGCCGTATCATGCTCTGAAAATTTGATCGTGTGGGGTTCTCCCGAAGCGTCGATGTAGGGTAGGGTAGAGCCGGGCCGTATGTCTTGGTAAAGATCATCCCAATCGATCGCAAAAGAGGAAGATTTCACGGTACACATGTATTTCGACCGTTGAGTCTCCTTTTGAGGACGTCGATGTCTCAAGTATACGCCCGTACCCTTTAACCACTTCACGGGCATTCTCGTATCGGGATCTCTGTACATGGGTTTGCTCTCCACAGGCTGGACTAAGGCGTCAAATGGCTCTTCAGATGTCGCGAGCTTTGTTGGCGCTTCGTACGTGGGCTGGTTGGGGGTTATTGCCACGATCCAGATTTCAGGCGTATGTATGAGTCCGCCATTGGTCTCCACCTCCGCAATTCGACTGCCCCAGTACGTTGCCGGACGCTGGATTCTCTCCATTAAATCCAGAATATCGTTACCAAGAATTAAGACTTGCAGTCCCTTCTTGATCAGTGGTTCAAAGTAGACCATGAAAGGGTCCTACTCCCTGAGCGGATTCAGATATCTGCTGGCCTAGAGGAATTGTTCTGTGACTCCGAACAGGTGCGCTATCAAAGAGATTTCCGTGGCGGTGAGTCCACTCAACAAGGGTTCGGCTAGCTCGTAATACTCGCTCTCCGTCATAACCAACTCGAAGATAGACCCGATGACGTTACGATATCGTTGGGGTATTGGGAATCTGTATACCCATGCCTTTGGCTTCATGTCTGGATGCGGTGGGGCAATCGTGGCCAGGCTTGCAGAGAGTATGCGGTGTAGCAGTTTTGAGGGATGTTTGCATGAGCTAAGCCGATATGAACATCAAGTTCTTTCAGTTGATAGATGATGTGCAGGAAGTTTGTTAGGATATACAAAGGAGCGTACATGCTACTTATATTACGACGTCTAGCCCGCAATCTCGTAGTTGCCTTGACCAATACACGCTTGATGTTGTTCTTTGGCCCCGTAAGAGCTATTCCATTGGATGCGACGCGAGTGAGTCGCGCTAAGGCCTTGGCGGTGGGGCTAGTAAACAATTGCCGGACGTGTATTGGTTAAGACAATTTCGAGGTTTCGGGCTAGACGTACACACAGAACACCGACACTTCCTGGCTCAGGAGGGCTACAGCCTATCGGCCAGGATGGCGCCGCCCTTCCAAGGCTTCCAACACCCATGGGTTGGCGAGACCTGCTTGCAATCTAGTTCCGAAGCTGCGACTCCTGTTCCCATTTACGACATAGTTAATGTAATTTATGTTGGAATCGGCCGAACTGATCCTAGGAGCTGCCACGCTTTTTGTGAGGGGCCCCGCCAGGTGTTAGTCTTCAATATAATTACGAGGAATGTGAACAAGGCGCCATGTGGGTGCGATTCAAACAACGTAGTCAGCCTTGACAGTAGGCATTTGAGATCAAAATTCATGGAATTATCGGCTCCATGATACATGGACACGGAGTCTTCGTAAGGAAGGAGTTGAAGGATGCAGGGGGAAAATTCTCAATCCGGTAAACGACTCCATTACTAGCAGCCAAGTGCGATAAACCAAACCAAGAAAAATTGGATTCACCGCATTGCAGTCGGAAGCCTTCAATTTGATTATAGGTTGCTTATGCCTGCGAAACCCAAACAGGGATTCAGGCCCCTAGCGGCTCTCCAAATAGGAATGGTCCGGCTTTCATGCCCTCCAAGCTAGCTCGGCAGCTAGGTCAGGGCAGTGACTTTTCCCTACGATTGATCTGTTGCTCTTGTGTTTAAAACAATCCCTTGCCCTCCTACTATTTGGACGTTCAAACTTTACCCATCCATGAATAACACAATGGACGCAAAGGTCGACTTTTCGGTTCCAACTTACGCCGATCAATACTATTGGGGGTTCCACGCACTCTGCCCTAACGATAGAGAAGTGCTCTACAACCACTTTCTGGCGACTGCGAAACTGAGATTGGAAAACAAACCACATTGGTGGCCAAGCGCCGTTGATTGGAATTTTATTAATGACGAGGTTTTGGCTGCTGTGAAATCGAGACTGGAAGAGGAACCTAGGTGGTGGCCCACTAGCGTTGAATGGGGCTTCAAAGACGCCTCAGGTATGCAAGAATCCGGTCAGTCTTACGTCGTGCACTCTTTTTAGCACTGATACTAATGTATGTCCAGAGAAATCCGAAGTCCTAGCATGCGTTATGAGAAACTACGACCACCAGGACCTTGCGAGAATACTCGACAAAGTTAGCGGGGAGCTTTATACAACAAATTGTTTCACAATAGTCGACCGGTTATTCACAATTGGGGACCCTCAATCTAACAACTCTCAAGAGATCTTGAGTACGGTCCAGAACTGAGAAATCGTTACCAGCTTGCTGATGACTCCTTGTTAGGGCCCCAAAACCGAGCTATCGGCCCAAAGACCGCCCTGCGAGAGTCTCTGCCGATAAAAATATTTGCACTGCGGAAATCAGCAATCCACGAGTCATAGCACGTTCCGTAGCGGTCGTCCGGGATATGTTGGCTTCCGGAAAAATACCGTAGCAAGAACTTACGCCACGCCCGTCGATGTTAGTAGCAAGGCTGCACTCGTAAACCCACTTTACGTGCGGGTGCTAGAGGTCGAATACCACTGCAGGGAGTTGCATACAACCCAACCCCAACTTGCAAATCTCAAGCACGGTTTCTCCATCGACATAGCTTCTTACTCCCAACAGGGCGTTCTGTTGTGTGTGATTCCTCGGTCCAAGTGATAAGAAAGAAAAATGTAAGACTAAACAATGCGCTAGGACAAGCAGGCAGTCGCTCCAAGCAAACCATGCGAATTCGGAACTGATTCTGGTAGATTCTCAAGGTAACAAGATACCTCTTGAGCCTGTCATTGGTATTTGCATTACCCGTGCTCCCGTGATTGGCGAGCTGTTTGTCGTCGAGCTCGAAGACCGTCGGAAAACTCAAGAAGCGTCATATTATATGTATGTTCA